CACCCTCACGGCTGGGAGATCAGAGAGCAGATCCCTGCAACCGCAGCTCAGCTCTGTATCGTCAGTCTGCTTCAGAGTGAAAAAGCGGGTGGAATGGAGACAGCAAACACTTTCTTGTCACAAGACAACCCCTGATGTCCGGCTATGGCACCAGAAGTGGCCACTCTTGAGCTGCAGCTTTGTATTTTTGGAAAAAAACCTCAGAAGAGGTTCCCCAAAACCCCATTCCAGCAGACAGGGACACCGCACTTTGGACTCCACGCTCTGCTGGGCACCAAACCGAGTGCATCCCCAACACACCACCTCCCTGTCCCCCACCGCACGCTCAGGGCCAGCCCTACCTTCAGATCCCAGATCTTGATCTGAGAGTCCATCGTCCCTGTTCCAAAAATGAGCCCATCCGGGTGGAACTGGGCACAGGTGAGAGCTGCAGAGACACAGGGGAAGATGTGGAGGGTTGGGGAGACTTTCCGACTTGGTCAGCAGGCCCTCCCTCAGAGTTCTTCTAACTCCAGGAGCCCAGGGGCCCGTGGGCAGAAAAATCCCTTCTCTCCAGGCTCACAACAGCCCCCCGGGGTGGGGATACTCAGCCGTAAGCCTTACCACAGCCAGAGCTCTCATCTGTCACCTTGGTGAGGACACGGCCTGTCTGGATATCTGAAAAAGCCCAGTACTGGAAAAGAGGAACAGGGCGTTGAGTACAGAGAGATGAGAAGCAGACGGAGGGGTGTGTGGCCCGGGGCTGGGTCTCACCTGGTCATCAGAGGAGCTGAGGAGGTAGTCGCCCGTTGCGTGGAGGCTCAGCCCTGTTACAGAGCCCTCGTGGGCACGGACGACCTGCACGCACGAAGCGTTGGGCACAGACCAGATCCGGATAGTAGCATCGGGAGAAGCTGAGAACACCAAGTCCTGGACAGGGACAAGGCAGGAAAGTTAACATCAAAAGACCTTCACCATTTTAGAGAGCTCCCTACAGGCAAGAACTGTCACCAGTCTGCAGGAGGCGAACACCCCACAGAGCACCAGAAAAGGGCCCAAAAAGCCCAATCTGGGGCAGCCTGGCTGTGAGGGAAGAGGCCGAACACGGGCCTGAGCGCACCTGAGACGGGTGGAAGACAACACTGGTAACCTTCTTGGAGTGCCCCTTGAGGGTCGCCAGGATCTGCTCCGAGCTCTTGTCAAAAACAATGACGTTTTTATCAGCCCCGCCTGGAAAACAAAGCAGGAAGCAGTGAGAGATGGGAGTCTGTGGCCAACCAAGTCCAAGTTCACCCACCTTTCCTGGGGACCGCCGTCCCGAGGAGCTTTGCCATGCAGTTAGAGAACCCCTCATGCCCTTTGCCCCACCTCTATCCCCCAAAAGCACAGAGAAAGGGACCTGCTCCCAGGCAGCCACAGGCTCTTAGCTGACACCACGCAGTCCCCAGCAAGCGGAGGAGGCTCTCTTACCGGTGAGGATCTTGTTGGTGTCGGAAGGACAGAGGTCCAAGGCAAGGATCCCTGGGATGCTGGCGCTGTGCAGCCCCTGTGCGAGGCAGGAGGATGCCAGATTAACGTCACAAGCAAAAAAATGTCCCCAAAGGGAACTGAGAGGCCCCTGAGGGACCCCAGGGTGTTTCATTCTGACAGCAGGAGTCTATGCCACATCTACTCCAGCACAGCTGGCTGTGGCACAGAGAGCCACGACCCTCTCCTTGCTCTGCCCAACAACAGATCTATCACTTATTGATATTGCAAAGAGGCACAGGAGAGGCCCAGATGCTCCGCTACATGGGGGTTTTTAAGCCCGCACCTGCATCACGGCACTCACCACATGCGAGGCGACCTGCCGGTACTTGCTGAGTTCCTCCGGCTTCACCAGCTCCTCTGGAACTGTCTTGCCTCTCTGTAAAAGGAAAACGGCGCAGGGTTAACCATCAGCCTCTCTTGGGGCACAGCACGTCCTGGCTGCTGCAGCGTCTTCAGAGCAAAACGGGGCCGCTCACCTTCTTACGCTCCGTGGTCAGCACCGTAGCCTTGTCTTGAAGCTGCAAAACAAGAGAAGGGCGGTCACAGACCGACTGGGGCTCCCACGAGGGGAGGCTGGAGAACAGCCACCGCCGAAGGCTGTAGCAGCGCAAGTGGCAGAGCCCTTACCTTCTGGATGATCTCGGGGGTCATGCCCGCAAGCTCTCCCAGATCCATGGACTCCCCAGCTCCCTGCATGGGACAGGGAAAGGAGCTGGTTACACCCAGAGGGGGAACATAGGGGAAACGAGTGGAGACTGGCAGTCGGGTACCAACGGGAAGAGTGCCGAAGCTGGCCGTGAGGACTCACCGCCACGTTTGGCTGGGAGGACGGCACCGTCTGGGGCACGATGAGGCCGGCCTGCGGCTTCAGAGTTGCCAAAGCTGTGGAGACAAAGAAAAGCCGTCAGTTTAACAGGCACTTGAAGGGGAAAGGAGATGGTGTCCAGCACAGTGACTGCTACCAAGACTACCT